TTTACGGCTTTTTTGCAAATTTAACTGACTTTCGAGAACCCTGCCATCCACCACTCTGCACTCAGACCGAATAACATTCTCACTGTATGATGCAACTTACTGTTTTACATTGTATATGGCAATAAACTTTTAAATCTACCGGACATCCCACCAAGTTTACTGCTGTTTTCCAACTATACCTGTCCTGTCCATTATCTACTTAAATATGTAACACTACGGTCCGCGGGACATTATTTTTGAAGGGGTCTGGTTGGGACAAAGCCTCTCATGACCTTGATCAACTATAGAAATGTATCTTCGATACGAAATAAATTAAATCGCAACCGGGAGCAGTTTTCAGTCGAAATTTAGTTATATTTACGGGGTAGTAAGGTCTGAATCTAATCCAAATGTTATCCTATTGTCCTAATCACAAAAAGGAAATGGGTTGGCTGTTTGAAGACAATGGGGCCATAAAACCAGGTTCCACTCAGGCATCATTCCCTATCAGTAATCTTTAAATATCTACATGTAGATGCATCATGACCATTTGCTTTTTTAGAAGTAATTGGGTGGCTCTTAAAAGAGCCTTTGGGTCTGTAGATTTCCTCGCTGTCGCTTTCACGCTTAGCCGCCAAAACCGTACAGAGTGCGGCCCTGACGCTTGAGAGCGTACACAACATCCATGGCGGTGACGGTCTTTCTCTTGGCGTGCTCGGTGTAGGTAACGGCGTCGCGAATGACATTCTCCAGGAACACCTTCAGCACACCACGGGTTTCTTCATAGATCAGACCGGAGATACGTTTGACGCCACCTCGGCGGGCAAGACGACGAATAGCCGGCTTAGTAATACCCTGGATGTTGTCGCGAAGGACTTTACGATGGCGCTTAGCACCACCCTTTCCGAGTCCCTTACCTCCCTTTCCACGGCCAGACATTGTTACTTCTGCGTTCAAAACTAAAGTAGATAAATCCTTCGCTATTCATGCTGTTATACACATAAGCACTACCTGATTGAAACCAGGGAGCAACTTTCAGGCCGATTGGTTGCCTCCGCCTACACATTTTTCTCCAAACGGTTCCTTATTCTTTAATCTTGCCTTGCCTTGTTTCGACTCCTTGTCTGTGTTTGCTTTCAAAATCATTGTTATTATCATGACTACACTCTTGGTTCTACAAAGGTTATTTTTTTAGAAATGCTGGAGTATGTGATTCTGGCCTTTTAAACATTTTCTGCTTCTGAATAAACAGCTGGAATATGAAATACATGTGGATGCTTTTATAATGAGACTAGGACGTTTTCGGCCAAAGTACATGGAGGATATGAATCCATAAATTGAACCACTAAGTTTTGCAAACCAGTGGACAGAATATCACCCCGTCACCATGATCTATTATTTGTCTTGGCCACTTGGGGGGGGGGTCATTTCAGTTCTGTAAGCAACACATCTTGTATATTATGTTCCGTTATTCAGATAGTAGATTTATTTGTAAGTTATTGGTCTTATGCAAAGTTGTATAGAATTTTAAGATGTTCCAAACATCAGAGACCACAGGACACATCTGAACAAGTCCATGTTTACATGTCTGTTTACTTTTCAAAATCTCAAAAAATTTGAGGCCTGCTCACCTCACAAACTTTTTTCCCTCACGATTCATGATGACATTTGGCTGATGCTGAAATAACTCGAAATATAGTCCAAAAATAAAGCTGATTCATAGATATCAAATTGCAACATTCAGAAAGTAACAATATTTTGCTTACCTAAGAATCACATTTTTGTTTTAATCTATCAACTTTGTTTCATTACATAATACAATAAAATCTCATTAGTAACAGCATCTTGCTCAGGGTGCATTAAGCAGTGAGGTTACACCTTTTATGGTCTTTGGACTGTTCTGATTCGGTGCAGTGGCAGTGTTCCTGTGATATGTGGTGCTTCCATATGAATATGGTATTTTTAGTAAAAGAAAAACCACTGTATGAAACAATGCAAACCATCTGATTAGATTAATTTTATTATATCTAAATTCATATGCTTGCCTGTCAGAAAAAGACAACAGTGAATAAATGCATATAAAATATTAACATCTATATAATTTGGAAGTAGATGAGCTTACAAACCCAACTCTGTGCACAACTACAAGTGGGTAAGCACGTATCACTGATGTATGCCCATGATCATCAAAATCACCAATGATCTGTGTCAGTGCAAGCCTTGGGATGGCTCGTACCAGACCGGACAGCCTTTAATCACACATCCATCAAAAAGTTCTGGCTGCCAAACACTCACATAGGTATCCCCACAGATGATCGTGAGCACCCCACAAGCCTTGGAGTGTTGGAGGTGCTCTGACCAAGTCCTCTGGCCGTAATGCTTTGGTCCTCGTCAAAGTGACTCAGATCTTTACCCCTGGGCATTCCACATGCTTTCACCATGTTGACCAAGAGTCCTGAAAGCTAGCTTAATATTTAAAGCATTCCCAGACCTTGACATTCACTGTATCGACGACAGTCAGCATTATTCATTTCTTACAGGGCTGGGCATGATGTCCTGACTCATCGCTGCATAGAGGAATAAAACTTAACACGTTCTCAGCATGGCTGTTGCCAGCCTGGAGCCAGCATAGGATACAAGATAACAATTCATCACAGTAGACATACACACACCCAATCTTGCTCTAAATTGATGGACAATGCAACTGCACACAACTGGCTTACTAGACGGTAAATAACCCAGTCGCTGTATACACCATATGTATTACATAAGAGACTGGCATCCCTCCCTAGGTGCATCCTGAGATCCACTTCAGGTTTGATGTGACCAGCTGATAGGTAAAGGGCAACAGAATATAGATGGATGTGCAGATTTTATACACCTATTGCACTCTTCATTTTGCATGTCATCCTATATGTCAGGCACTATTTTGAAAGCAGCACTGACTGCTCATTGAGCACCATAAACACTAAAAATCATACTTAAAATCTGCAGGTTTTGGTCTCCAGTATTCTCCAGTAACTTGCAGTCCGTCTAAAACGCTGATGAGCTATGATGATCCCTCAGAAGTGGAAGACACACTAGTAACCCTAAAACCTCCACCAAGTAGAGAAAAGGAAAAAAAGATATACATTTTATATTTATATATATTTATATATATATATATATGCGCAATTGTTAGCAATATCAGTTGATAACACATTACGCACGGCGCTTTACGTATAAAACACTGTAGCAACACATCCACAGTTGGACAGTTTGTGTGACCGATTTAATGAGCCACAAATGAGAAGTTGTGCTTAAACAGGATAAAACTACAACTTTCCCTTCTGTTGATAAAGGCCGCAGTCGTCTTGGATTCTGAACTCGGGATCCCCTGTGCTGCTCCGAGAAATACATTATATATTTTTATACATTATATATTTCAAGCAAGAATATTTCAGATGTTATGTAAAATTCAGCACTTTTGTGATCTTTGAGGCGGCTCTTAAAAGAGCCTTTGTTTCGGTGTTTCCACTTAAATTCAAGCACGTTCTCCACGGATACGGCGAGCCAGCTGAATATCTTTAGGCATGATGGTGACTCGCTTGGCATGAATGGCGCACAGGTTGGTGTCCTCAAA